CCGCCGTTTAATATCACCTGTGCTTTCGACAAAGCACCCGATCATGCAGTGTCTTAGTCTTCGTCAGACGATTTTCTCACAGTTCGACTTGTGCTTTTTTTCTGTTCAATATTTGCAGCATGTGTGTTGTTCCTGACACGCACTTTCTCTAAACAATATCACGTCATCAGCAAATGTTACGAGGTTCAGCTGTTCTTGCTTACCGATGTGATCCAACCTTTATGTCTGGAGCCCAGTTTCCAAAGGGACAGTGAAGAGTTTTCATAATGTGATGTCCCCTTTTTCACACTGGAATTCATGTGTAGGAATCCGGAACGAGTGTCGAACATCGTGATTTTTCTGAGGCAAGTAGAGTTCGCTTCCTTTAGCAGGTTGATGTTATAACGGGTGTTGATGTCCTATTGTGTCAGTGTAGTTCACACTGCGTTGTACTCCAGAATGTTGAACACCTTATCGAGTAATGGATGAAGACGATGCATAGATGGAGTTAGTATTCCCTTATTCCCTCGCTCACTCGAGAATTTGACTTAAAGAAAAAATCTGTCCGTTATGCTTTAGTACCTTCGGAATCCTATTTGTTCTTTTGGCTGTTCTTTGACCAGACTTGTGACATAAAGCATATTTTCAGTAGCTCTTCAGAACTTCTTTCTTGAAGAACGAGGTTGTTTTCGACTCCTTCTAACTTTATGCAACTTTTTTCGCTGCCAGGTAGAACTCCGGTAGAACTTTCCTAAGCGTCTGACCATTTTTCTGATTTGAGGATTTCAGTTATCAGAGCGTATCCTCCTTGGGGCTCTCCCTTTTTTCATTTTCGTTTGCATCCATATCTGGAGGATGTTTCCCTATCCCGCTACACTATGACTCTCTTAATGGCCAACAGCTAGCCAGAATGCCATTACGATATACCGCCAAAATGAATTTATATGGTATTTTTGGTTTGTGACGAGTCATCTGCTAGATCTGAGGATCGTGTTGATGAAAATTCAATCCAATGATCTGCGTCGTCATCAAAAACAACCGCTTAGCCACTTCATCCTTCTTAACTGGGGTTTTATTTTCATGTTTTTAAGTTAACAGTTGAGCATTAAGTGAAGATGTTGAATATTTTGGTTGTTTTAAAGTTCGTTACGTTGTAGCTTTTAGTATTTTCTTCAGATTTTGTTGAGATTGATGATTGGAAAAACCATTGGGTGGAAATTTGTACTTTCTTCCTCTGTACAGCTCCTAGTAGCGTCGAAAGAATAGATTGATTTGTCGTTTTCCTGTTGAATTTCGTTCCGCATCCGGGTGGTTATCATCAAGTATTTCTGTGGCTGTCTTTAGGCACTGAAGAATTGTGTCAATATTTTAGAGCCGTACGTCGTTTTTGTTTTGCTGCAACCACTTCTCGTTTTCTATATCCATCTGGATCATTTTTCAACATATGACGACGGCACTTGTTGAACGACACATGACAATGCATGTTGTCTTGAACTTATCGTCTGTGTCTACTTCATTGAATCTTTCCTCGATTACTAATTGCACGATAACTTTTTCAGTTCCATTTCGATTCGCCATCGAAATTATGCAAATCATGAACTTCTTTCGGCATTAACTTTGTCGATGTTACTTGAGTAATTTTATTATTAGCATTTGCAGAAGATGATCCCGATGTTTTCATAGAATCTTGAGGATTTATGTTACTACATCTGCTCGGCATAAACGCATCGCTTCTTTCCGTGTACTCGTTTAACGGGATCGTTTAAACAGGCCATGACTTCATATAGTGTGGCGTGTTGGCACAGTTGTCTAAGAGGTCTGCTTCGAACTCCGCAGGTGCCGGGTTTGATTCCGATCGACGGCATTCTTTGTCTTATTCACAGACTACTTCAGATCGAGGTTACTCAGCCGATAGAACATCGAATTCAGAACCAAAAGCCCTGAGTTCAAACCTTGGTCAGAGTCATAAATGAATTTTTCTTTGTGGGAAGGACGCGATACGCTTGGCATATTGTTCTAGCCTCTGCCTTTAAAATAGTTAAGCACTCCTAGCTGATATCATGAAACGGAGATCAGCACCGTGCCATCAACTTCTGTTAAAATGGACGCTGTGTCATTAACGTAATGGAAGACCAACAATCCAGCGTTGATTAATTTTCTTTTCCTTTTGCTTTCTGTTTAGTGCGTTCGATGTGGTATTGAATCTGTAAGTGAACAATGATGGGATTGAATAGGGATGCGTTGCATTCGAGCGCCAACTAAATTTACTACAGTATGCTAGTTCTCCTAAAATATTGTGGTTATCTTTTGTATACATATTTACCTGAAGCTAATGGAAGATTCAACTGATATTCGAACACGTCGTTTTTCAGTCTCAGTCCAGTTCACAGATGCGGTTTTGCGTGCAGTTTACTGTTGTTGCATGGGGTTATAGCTTGCTTATTTGTTCCCCTTAGGCGACTAATAGCAACGAGGTGGTTCGCTTTCGCCCTATAAAAATTCATGTTTATTCAGTGCACCTTTCTTTGGCTTACTTGATGTTATGGTGCTTCAGAAATGGCGTACTCCCCGGCCGCACAGTAGTTCGTCATTGTAACAAAAAGTAGCGTATATAAACTGGGGAATTTGCATAAATTTGCATGGCTCCTTGTAGCGAAAATTCGTGCATCGATGCATTGTATACTTCTATTTAAAAATCTTATGTAGCAGCACGGCTCTGCAGTAAACACTGTTTCGCTTTGTTATCGCGTATTTTACAGATCGAGAACCTTACAAACAGAAAATTGTATTACTCAAATATCACTTTCCTTTTAATTTTGCTTAATTTTAATTGCTGATTAATTAACTTCAACAAAAACTAATAGATTAAAGATGTTATGTAAAGATGCTGACGAATGGTTTGCGCATTGGATGAACAGCTTCAGTTTTAACAGTACTATTTATGGAGTAGATATTTTCCAATAGGTAAAATACTCATGTTCTGTACAAAAGTTTCGATTCACATTCCCTTGAGGAAACAAAATGAAACGCTTTGTTTTAATTGCCTGAAATGCATGTTGTTGGGTGCGCATGTCGCCGCGACATTCAGAATTTTTGCGATTCTGTCAGAGATCACTACTCACCTCTCCAGTAGTCATTCTCAGCATTCGTATGCAGTTGATTAGACATCTGATTATCGAATATACTGTCTAAAAAGATCTGCCTTACTATTCCGCGTAGTTGTTTTTCATTATTGTAATTGTTGAGCGGGCGCTTTTAATTGGGTGTTTGTGTGGTTGATGCTCAGGTCAGCCAGCCAATAGCACTGACGTCAGTTTTTATTGAAGTATTTTTAAGCATAACGTTTAGTCTGTTTGACAATGAATGAAATATAAGATACCAGCCAGCCTACAGCTTGTGCCGCTGGGTTCCTTTGTGCGAATGGGATATTCCAGACCAGTTTCTCAGAAATTATCATAATATCGTTAACTGTTCGAAGAAGCTGAATTAGTCCTTGATAATCCGAGACTTGTTGTATAACTTTGTAGTATATTGTTATGGTGTTGCTGTTAACTCAGATTCTTGCAGTCTTAATGATTTTAAGGTAGAAGAAATTCGTGGAAGCATCGACTTAATAGCAAACAATGTTGAGGAGGTCAAAAAGAAGCACTCTGCGATCCTGTCGAATCCGGTTAATGACCCGAGTAATTTTTTCATTTGGTTCCGTTTAATGGTGTAATAGTCTAGTTTTTCACTTTGTTCAGAAACGAAAGATGAGTTGGAGGAACTCATGGTCAGCATTAAGAAGACGGCGAACAAAGTCAGGGCAAAACTGAAAGGTAAGCATCACTTAAAACAGTCAAAGATCTGTGGCCAACACGGTTCGTTTTTTACGTTCTGTTGTTTAGTGATCGAACAAAGACTTGAACAAGATGAGGCGACCGAGGGATCAACGGCTGATCTCAGAATTCGAAAAACGCAGCATTCCACGCTGTCTCGAAAATTTGTCGAGGTCATGACCGACTATAACAAAACTCAGACGGACTACCGCGAACGATGTAAAGGGCGAATTCAGCGGCAGCTGGACATTGGTGAGCTTCGAAGTTTCTAAATTTTACCGGTCAACTCTGGGTCGCTAACCTTCAGTAGTATAAGACTTGATGTATCTGCTATTGTTTATTATTTTATTTTTATCCAGTGATTACGTTTATAGTTTTCGTTTCACATTTCGATATAAATACTTATTGTAATGTAAATGTTTCGCATTTACATATCAATGCGCACTTCTATCGTACTGCTGAAAATGTCGTTCATCGCGGTTTTTTATCGACCGTAAGCTTTGATTTTAGGTTTAGGTTTGAATTTCGTTAAGTGATTGAACTAATGCTTTCATAAAGGCACCACTGCGGATATTGTGATCTGCGAATCAGCCACCACCAGCAGCTTTTATGACGGTCTATACAAACCCCGAATTGGTTTTAAACGTGGTTATAGATCATAATTTAATCTCTAACGTCTAAATTCAGTCTTTATATTTGACTTTTGTATTTCCCTTTCGTTTTTCTTTCTCTTTCATTTTGTTTTGTCACTTATTTTGCTTTGTTTTCGCATGTTGTTTCGTATGTATGCAATAACGTTATTCTTCGTTCTTATTCACTGTTTTCTCCATTTTATTAGCAATAGCATCATCTTTAACAGACTGTTTTTATAAGTTCACAAATCAGCTGAACCCAATCTCGGCTGAGAAAGGAGGATGTTTGGAGACCGTGGCGAAGTCTCCGTAAAATTTCGCCGCCTTTCCCTCATGATATTGAAGTCATCAAAAATTATACCGTCTCGGTCGTCGTCCGGATTTCCAAGGGCCTCGCAGGCAGTTCGGGTACTGAGGCAAACTCCTAATGTCGCTAAGAACTTGCTCATCGCCTTCTAGCAACCGGGGACGTAGCAGCAGGACAACGGCTGCCGAAAATCAACGACACCACGACGGAGATGCCAATCAGCAGCGGAGTCGCTACCCGTTCTGAAAGGCGGAGACAGACAGCCAGATGCCAATAGTACGTCAGAAACTGCCCCACGAAAAGACACCACCAGTGG